AAACTATAAAAGAAATTTTTATTTGTGCTTTGAAAAGATAGTATATTTATTTTACAAACCATTTGAAATCGTTTAAGAAAAATTGGTAATATTGGTGGAAGTTGAAAGAATACTGTTTGACGAATTGCTTCTGTTAATACTTTTTCTAAATATAGATTTTAAAAATAAAATAATTTATCTTTTTTTTTCCAACCTAGAAATAAAATCTTACTTTGTGTTTGATCTAATGATCGACAATAATAACAATCAAATAGATTTTCACCAGAAAGTGTTTCAGGTTTAAAATATCTTTGAAAACAATGTTCTAATGTTTTTATATCATCCGTTTCATTTGTTGTTATGGTATCATCTATTGGTTTAGGACACTTTAAAAATCTCTGAGCAATACTTTCATCAACAAATGGTAATGGATGAGATGCTGTTTCATGAATTAATGTTAATTTTGAAACCATATCAGCAAGTACACAAGTTGATTCAACGGTTGTTAAAGGACCTTTAGATTCTTCTTGTTCATCTTCGTCACTATCGTCACTGGCCGGTTTTTCTTCTACTTCTTCCTCTTCTTCTTCATTGTTTTTAATAGTTTGTTGTTCTTGCTCTTCTTGATTAGGATTATCTGTTTTTATATCAACGGATTCGTCTGTAAATTTATATATAAAAAACAAATTAAATGAATAAAACTAGTTATAAATCTTACTTATTCCATTCTCTTCAATTGTTACAGTTATCTCTTCAGGGGAAACTACAGAAGACGATTCTTCAAGTGGTAATTGTTCTTGAACGACTTTTGTATTTACTGATTGTTTACCTTTGATTTTATTAGAAACAACTCTAGCACTTCTTCTACTCTAAAATATATATAATTAATTAAAAGATCTAACGAAGAAAGTTTTCTAACCGATAAATTACATTTGAGTCGAGACGATGCAGATTCAAATGAACCATGAATATTCTGGAACGACTTCGAGCCCTTAGCTCTTATTACTGCGAAGATATTGCACTTTTACGATACTTTTTTAAATGAATGTCGTAGTCCCTCTCAGGGACACCAGAAAAAATGATTTTCGAATTTCGACTTAAAACTTTGCATAGATACAGGCCTTAAAAAGCATCGTCTTTTGTGAATGTTTCAGATCTTGTCGCTGTTACTATCCTAAGATACAACTATAGTAATAGCATGTATTTTACATGACTCATAGAAATGTGTAGGATAAGCTTTTTTTCGTACTCTGTGCTCTGACTGAGAAAAACGTTTCTGCCCTTATCCTACCATACCCTGTAGGGTAACCCTGCACATCTCTAATGATTCATATAGTCTGTGCAAAGTTTCAAGTTGAAATTCGATTATCAGTCTCTCTGTTATCATTGGCAGTCATTTAAAAAACTCTTTTCAAGATATTCATAACTCATTTGGGTCTATATAGTACACATAGTCTCGACTCGAAAGCGATTTATTAGTTGGAAGACTTCGTTTGTAAGATAATAACTTTCATACATTTTTCTTTTCTTGTTTTTGTAATGCTTTTTGTTGTTTTCGTGATAAAATTTTTGGTTCTTTTTTCGGTTTATTTCCTGTATAATCATCACGTTTACGTCGATTACGATAATTTTCCGATGGTGACATCTATCAAAAAGTTTCTTTTTTGTCTTCAAATTTTAAAAGAATATATTTTATCTATTTACTCGATCAGTTAGAGGTAATAATAAACCAAGAAATGGTTCAATTTTCATTAATGACTAAAAAAACCAAATCATCAAATAATACTTTTCAATACAATTAATACTAACCTTTCCACATTTTTTACAAGTCATAACATCAAGTAAATGACCACCAAATATTGAATCATATGTTGTATATGGTTCATTACAACCAATTACTAAAAAACAACTATTAATTATTTCATTTTTTTTAATGTTAATTTTATACGTACAACAAAACATTTTTGATAAATCATCATCATCATTTTCAAAGTTAACAGGTCGTCGTGGTTCTAATTTTCTTAACTAAAAAAGAAAATATAACATGTTTTTCAATAAGTATAGGGTGGTTCAAAAGTCACTTTATCAAAACGAAAAAAAACTGATCATCTCCGCTATATTGTGACCAAATGAACTAATTTTTTTACTAGTGATAAAGGTGTATTCATAAGAGAAACATCGATAAACACTGCTTTGAAATATGATTATGGACTGCAATAAAGAATTGTAACCTTTCTCAATTTATAAAAAGAAAAGCAATATAATTGTTCCTTATGGCCAAAATTAAACTATACATATTTTTTTCAATTGATTTTCCAAATTATTTTCGTTTGCTCTGGAATTTATGCAACGGATACATGTAGGAAGTTGCGCGTCCTTCCAGACTCGAATGCGGGTCCAATCTTTTATTTTTTGCTGGGCCCGGTTAGACGTTTTTGTGGACTCACTGCTTCCCAGATGAGAAATACACCAACAAGATATAACTGTATGTTGAATTTTTTACTGAGAATAGCGAATAAATAGCTAAAACCTTGATCCATCACTTGTTCATGTATAAGAAGGGTGCCAGGTATTGATAAAAAAACCTTGGGTTTGCACTCGGTCGGGTCTGGGTGCAAATTTGAAACTTTGTTCGGATTTGGATCTACAAAAATGTGAACTCCAGCTACCTAGATACATGTCTTGTTATTGAGTGTATCCTGAAAGTTTCCGCCATAAACAATAAGAATTTGCTGAGATAACTGTAATATGATTTTCTCATAACTCATGAAAAGTTACAGTTCTTTATTGAAATCAACAAATATACTTCAAAATAGAGTTTGTCAATGTTTCTCGTATGGATACTAGATGCGGGCAAGATGGTCCCGATTCCGGCGGGACCCACATTTTTTCATTGGAAGAGATATCTTTTATGATCATATGAGACTTGTGTCAAATGTCAGATTCTCACAACTCATGTGTTCTCGTAGTTTATGTGGAAATTATTGAGTAACAATCATCATAATATTTGTTGTTATAATTTTGATAATAAAATGAATCCCTGTTTTAGTAAACAACAAAGTTGTCGAACACATAAGCGTACAGAATAGACGAAGTATTAGTATATTTAAAAAAGTAATGAATCCTCAAGAGTAAGTATATTAGAGATCATACAAGATGTCTCGAGTTTGTTGATACAATTAGAAAATGATATCGTATTTTTCGCTAATATATATGTATTACTAACGAGAGAATCTCTGTAGATGTCAAATCTCTTTTCGACAGAGACAATGTTCATTTGATGAGTACTAGAGAGTAATGGAAAAGTCTAGAACAGATTGATTTTGTGGACTATCATTCTTGAGATATCGAAATTTTACTGAGATTTTCAACAAAAGGCTGTGGTTTCTTCTCAGGTCACGTGAAAGTTTTGACTTCAAACTTTGCACGAACAAAGTTCTCAATGAGATTAATCCATTAGGTAAGTTTTAACTTTTCTAGTGCCTCTTATCCTGAATAGAAAAGCTAAAACTTACACAATCAATTAATCTCATTAAGGACTTTATTTGTGAAAAGTTTGAAGTCGACAGTCGATTTTTCACATGATCTAAGGAAGATCACAGCTTACTATTGAAAAAACTTATCTCGAGAACGAAGGCTCAAAAAACCAAGCTGTTCTAGACTTTTTTATTACTCAATAATACTCATCAAATGAACATCATCTCCATCGAAAAGCGATTTGACATCTGGACAGATTTCCTCGTAAAGGCGAAACTAAAAGTTTTTTTATTCTGGCCAAGACCAAAACGATTGGTCTCGCTCATCACTAATGAATATTTCTTTATCACTAGTAAAAGAAATCAAACCATTTGATCAAAATAGAACGAAGATTCTTAATTATTTTTCTCCTCATATAAAGTGACTTTTGGATCATGCTGTTTATAATTTACTTGGATTTCTTCTGCACGTAATAGTAACATAAGATTCATAAATAATTCATGACTATCATGTTGATCATATCCTTTATAAGATGGTATTCTAAATAAAATATTTTAATTCAATATATTAAACGATGAATAATATTATTTTACTTTTGAATAAGACAATTAAATAATGGTTTTGGATCAATACTTGGTTTTTTTCGATCATCTGATGTAAATTGATCAAAAATATTCATTAATTGAGCAGTTATTGTTGATGAATATTGTTTTCCATTTTCTTGTATTAAAATATGTATTGTTTGATATAAAGCATCAATTAATAGTGAAGTATGAGCAAGAGACTTTAAAATATTAAAACAATAAAATTAAAAAAAAAAAAGAAGAAGACTTCTTTATTGATAACAAACCTGAATAATAACATTAAAAAAACATGTATTACCAATATTATAAAGACCTTTTATTAATGATCGTCGTTTTTTATTTTCTATTAATTCATCTTGTTGATCATTTTTTGATAATTGTAATGAATCAGTTGATGTTGTAATACTACTTCCATGACCAGAATCTGTTGTATCTGATACTAAAATATAAAAATCAAACATATACTAGAAAATCTTGAAAAATCAATAACCTAGCTACATGTTTCAATTAATTTTTCATTGAATATTTTTTGTTCTTCATTTTCTTTTTCAAGTTCTTCTTTTAATAAATGTTCATCTTTATCATGTTCTTCTATTTCACGAGCTCGTTTTTCTCGTCGTCGATCTTTATGACCTTTACCCATTTTGTAATTATTCTTCTTTCAATCTCAATTAAATTTAAACTAATATCATAAGTTTTTATTTGACTTTCGTAATATAGAGTTTGAATGAGGAAATATTTTTTGTTAATAACCAATAAGAATCAAATCTTATATACCGACATCTATTCAATGCCAATCACATTTGTTGTAAGATTGACTAATCAAACATCCTAGTTACCTAACTTTTATTTTGATTAAGATGCTCTCAAACATGTATAAGTGAATACGCCCGTGCTGTTTTTTTTCTCTATTATTCACGATGAGTAAGCAGTTGAAAGGGTAAATATAATACATACAGTATGCGTACATCATTATCACAAGTGGAGAATATTTATGATTTATCTGTAACATCTGATGAGGAAAAACCTCTTCGACCGATTCACAATCGATCTCAAAAAGCATTTGATTTAAATGATGCACAAGCATTAAAAGTAATAGACGAAATTTCATTTTTTTGTAAAAAGAAAAAAAAATTTTTTTTTTCGTTTGTTTTACAGAATGAAATCGATAAATCTTTTAAAAATACTATTGGGAAACTTTCCCTTTTTGATGAACGTGATGAAACAGCTGGTAAAAATTATTTCCGAAAAATTTCTTTCTTATTTACAAATTACGTTTATTTTATTTAATTAGAGTCTATACAATTATATGCACGCCGACTTGAACCTGAACGACCGGTTACTCCTCCGAATGTTAGTTGTTTAACTTATTTAAATGAAAATCTACTATTTTTATTAAATAACTAAACTATATTGTTGACTTAATTCAATTTTTTTTGGAGTTCACGCAGAAAAAAAACATCGAAAGTTCTTTTCTCAAAGAAGATCTTGATTTATAAATGAATGATTATACATTGTATGCAAAAATTTTTTAGACATGTTTTTATGAGAAATACGTTTTAGTTTACGAAGAGGATGTCCTTCAATTGATAAATCATTTTTGACTCAAGACTATAATGTATTAAATAGACTAAAATGTGCTACGAATGCCTTGAAAAGATTTTGTATTCTTAGCTTATTTTTGTGAAGATAACGCATTTTTACGATATTTTTTTATATGAATGTCGTAGTAATAGAAAAGAACTGATTATCAAATTTCAACTTGAAACTTTGCATAAAGACGGGTTTTAATGAGAATAGTGTATTATGAATGTTTCAGATCGTGCCGCTGTTCCTATTATAAGATACAACTATAGGAATAGCGTGTCTTTTAACATCGCTCATATAAACCAGCAGATTTGGTATCTGTATTTTAGGATAGAAGCAAATTAAAAGACCTGAAAATTTTACAATAAACTATCCTCATTAATGCCTGTATGTATGCAAAGTTTCAAGTCAACATTCATTTGAAAAATATCGTAAAAGTGCAGTGTATCTCTGCAACAATAAGATAAAAATACGAACTCTTTTCAGAGTATTCATAGCTCATTTGAGTCTACATAATGCACGTAGTCTAGACTTAAAAGTGATTTATCAGTTGGAGAACTTCCTTCGTCAGAAAGAAAAATGAGCATGTTTAGATAAAGTCAATTTCAGATGCCATGCATCATATAAAATCAATGGTTATTTAATTTTCAGAGGATAACAAGCGTCATATGTTTAATGAGTATTTATTGTCATATCCGATATTTAGTGAATACTACAGAAATAGTCATGTTTCAAATAAAGATACGTTTAGTTTTACATATTTATTTGTGTAGCATGCATGCCTGATTGATTGTAAAAATTTTAATGTAAAAATCTAATCTTGTGTTTTCATGACGTATAATCTATTTTAATCTTATCAAAATCTGAAATAATAATAAATCCTATTTATATATAACTCATGATCGAAAAGTTTTGAGACAAGATGTTTGTTCATGTTTGACCCACTAGAGAGTATTTCCGATGAGTTAGAAACCGAATTTTGTACTCTATTCGAATATGGACTTAGAAATTTTATCTCAGATTTTGTCCGAGAATAATAAAATAATCTTTGCAAATTCCAACAAATTAGTTTCGACGGAAAATTTTTGTATTTTCACTATTGCAATTTGAAATTAAAAGTTCAGATCTTTATTTATATATCAGCTTGTAGATAAGAAGCTACCTTACGAAACGTACTATTTAAAGTCGTTTTTTAGCTTTCGACAAGACACAGCAATTTTCATTCTTCCTAAATACTCATTTTTGAAAAATCGGCAATCGTTTTCCATTGAACAAAGCGCTTCCAAAAATGATTGGGTAGAAACTACAGCTTAGTTCATGATCACATTTTGTAGAGAAATGCTCGCTTTACAAAAGGACTGATTCTGACAATTTTTCGTATATTCAAAAAGAGGCTTATAGAATAAACAAAAATCTATTGGCTCATCATTAAAAATAATTTTTTAGATCTTTGAAAAACTCTGTCACTACTCTTCAACAAAAAGAGAAAACGTATTTCTGAGCACAAAATTTTGGTCCTAACTCATCGGAAATATTTTCTAACGGATCTAAAGTGAACAGACATCTTGTTTAAAAGCTTTCCAATCATCCGTTATTATGTTATATTTATCGAGCTTTACAACGTTTTGACTAAAAATAGCATAGATGACACTTCGATACTCTTCTTTAACAGTGTACTCAATTACCTATATATCATTTACTATATATAATGAAATCTAAGATACAAACTATCATATTTCTCCTTTTGTATACATAATTTATCGCGTAGATGAAACCGGATGGAATTAAACAGTCAATTGCAGAGAAATTATTCAGTTTAAAATAGACTAGACTAATCTTTGTCCAAACTTATATAAAAGCTATCTCATATGATGAAAAGCGATTTTTTTTTCAAAATCCTCAGTCCACAAAAGTTAAGCTTGACCATATATATTTCTCCTCGACGATAAATTTTTTTATCATTCAGGAGGAAGTAACTATTGATTCAGTTCCACGTGATGTTGAACAATTATTAGCTTTGATTCGACGTCGTCTTAATATTCAACAAGTACCATCAGATATTACTCGTTTAACTTCTGATGATTTATCACAATTAGCTACTGTTGTTCTTACTCAAATGCGTTCAAAATGGATAGATATTGAAGAAATGTGTGTTCAACATCCATTATTATCATCTAAACGAAATCAAGAATTAATTCGTCGTCTTTTCGTTAATATTATTTTAATTTCTACGAATATTTTTGAACATACAATACAAGAATCACAAATATTTCATGATCGATATGTTTTTTCACATGCAGCTAATATGACTCGATTACGAACGTTACTTGCTGATCGAATAAATACTTTGTAAGATAAACAAAAAAAGAAATTATTTTTCTTTTGTTTTTAAAATAAGAATTTTATTTTTTTATTTTTTTTTTTACGATAGAATTAATATTCATTCATTACGTGAACATCTTGCTTTTGAAATGATTGAAGAAGAACGAATTAAAAAAGGTTTAATATTTGAAGAAACAATTTCAAAAAATGTTCGAAGACGTTTAAATAAAAATATTGTTTTATCACAACATCGTCCAGATGTTCGTGATGTGGTAAATTTATATTTAATTATTTCTTTATTGTTTATTGTTACAATAAAAACATATATTTAGATAGAATATGCTGGTAAAAGTTATAAATATCAATTCATAGATTCAAAATATCATTCAAGACAGATTCTACATCAAGTAATCGATGTAATTTAATAATTCAATATTGACTTTGTTTTTTTTTCTGTTAGCTTGTAACAAATATGCCTGATGTTAGTCGTTTTCGTCGTCTACCTGTTGTTCTACCACCTGTGACTAGAGAAATCGATTCAACAACACCTTTAAAAGAATATTCGAGTCAACCAAAAGTTATGAAACAAAAATCAACTGTACAAGCATATAAGCCATCATTAGAACAAGAAAAGGATGAAATACCACAGTACTTACTTCGTTTTCTTCTAATCGTTTTGTTTAATTATATGAATGTCTTTATAGAATTGTAAGACGAAATTATTATGGATCATTACCAAATATTCATGAAAAATTTCTTTCTGAAGAACTTGACTTTAATTTTAATAATATTAAAAAGTCAAAATATAAAACAACAGACATTATACGTGAACAATATTTTATTGATGAAGAAAAAAAAGTAAATGAATATTATTTTTAAAAACTTACCTTAATCAACATAATTTGTTTTTGTTTCTTTTCTAGAAAAGAGATATTGAATCAGCTAAATCAATTTCAAATCGAACTGATCTAATAAAATTAACAACACAAACAATGCCTGACGAGCGAGAAAAGTCTGATGAAATACCACCTTTGATTAAAGTTAGTTTTAAAATAAATTAAATATTTTCATTAATAAGAATTTTTTTGAAATAGGTTCTCACATCATCACGTGATCCAAAACAACGTATTAATGAATGTAAAGAAACCGTTTTAGCTATAGCAAAAAGACGAAAAGATTATTTTGATAAATTAAAGTGAGATAGAAAAAGAAAAAGTTCAATAAAAATTTTAATTTTAATTTTTTATTATTGAATAGAGAAAATGTTCGAGATGAACCATTATATCCTCAACCAGCATCAGTTGAAAAAACATTTAAAAATGTAAAGAAAAAAAGAAACAAAACATTAATTTATATTTAAAGCATAATTTTATTTGATTTATTTAGGTAACATTTCGTATATCTGATATAACAGTTGCAAATTTTTATTTTCAATCATCATTTCTTTTAACAAGTTTTCCAACTATATTTAATAATTATTTTGGTGATATTGATGATGATACAGTTGCATATCTTGATAGAAACTTACATATTGGACAACAAATAAAAGAAGTTTATGAACAATTATTAAGTACTATTGATATGAATCATAGTTTTCGATTAGATACTGTACGTATAAATATTAAAAAATATAATTAATAAGAAAATCTTACGTGTAAATGTAGACAATTATTAACAAGGGTTTTAAGAGATGTTCTTCTATTTCAGGAAAATAATTATATTATTCTAAATATGCATTTGAAGAATTTGATAATGATGAGCGAATTATCAAATGATTTTGTGCGTACAAAAACAAAACAAACATCATAGATTTTAATATAATAATTTTACTATATGACCTTAAATTTTTCTTCTTGTACATTTTATAATAAGATATATATATATATGTCATAGGAACAGTTAAACATAGACAGAACTCATTTTTCATTAGGCACCATAGATATCCATTACGGCTGAAAATCTGTCGTGGACCTAGAAGAGACAAGGTTATCGCGACGTGACTAAAATCTAAATGTACCACGTCATGGCTACGATAGTTTGCGAGAAATTCTTCGAAAATCTCTTTCGTCACTGTGCTAAATTAGTACAATAAGATTGAGTCCATCAGATTCACCACGATTCTAACTGTTGGACTTGTAGATATTAAAATCTAGTTTAAATTCATGCAATTTTACAATCTCCCTAAAAAACGAAACTACTGCTGATGTCATCGAGGTGACGGCAGCGTCGCCATGGATATCTCTGTTAAGCACAAAACTACAGAATAGTTTTCGTTTGCATGGCAGCTGTTATTCTACCACAAAAAATACAAAAGCTAAAAGATCATTCATTTTTTTTTGCATTGCAAAATAACTTAACAAAATATATTTATATTTTACATATCATCTATGAACTACGTAAAATTCGAAGACAAATAAACATTGATAAAAAAAATACTACTCAAAAAGCATAAGTTTAAAGATTTTTCCTTCTTCTTCTTACGAGGGAATGACCCCAACTGATTCCGAGCTTTTGGCTTCATATTTTGGCTATAGATAGACCTCAATGAGACTAAGAAAATCCTGGAAGCGCTCGTGCCCATGGGCTGCTGGGCCAAAGTTATAGCCGTTTTACTGAATTTTTAGCCTACGACACGGTATCCACAGTAAAGTAAAATGAAGGTATTTCGGTCTGGTATTCTGTCCATAAACAGGTCTAATGATTCCTAGCATGTGCCAAAATTTTCAATCAAAACGGATGCTTCCTTCTTGAGATATTCAATTTTCAAAAATGTATGCCTATAACAGGTAAGTCACAATAATGGAGCTGTCCTGCAAATTGAATATCTCAAGAAGGAAGCATCCGTTTTGATTGAAAATTTTGGCACATGCTAGAAATCATTCGACCTGTTTATGGACAGAATATCAGACCGAAATATCTTCATTTAACTTTACTGTGGATACCGTGTCGTAGGCTAAAAATTCAGTAAAACGGCTATAACTTTGGCCCAGCAGCCCATGGGCACGAACGCTTCCAGGATTTTCTTAGTCTTATTGAGGTCTATCTATAGCCAAAATATGAAGCCGAAAGCTCGGAATCAGTTGGGCTCGTTCCCTCGTAAGTGAGAGCTTTGTGTGGGTATTTGATAATAAAATTATTGTTGAAAATATGGACCCCTATTGAACAGAGCAGTAGAGTCAGATTTCTACGGATTTACGAATTCCAATAGATTTTTTTCGAATTTTCGTTGAACTTTTGGAATTTGTCTAGAGCTCGTCCAAGTCGCGTCTGAAAATTTTAGACCCGATGGGTTCTAGTCATCTGAGAAATGTGTAGAATGCACTAGCAGCCGTATACAAAAAACTGGAAAAAAGTATCTCGCATCTTCAGGGTGATTATCTTTTTCGATTAGAAAATTTCATTGAAAGTATCAAAGTACGGTTAGACAGGGTTCGGGTCTGAAAATTTTGGACTCGGCAGACTCTAGATTCATCTGGATTTTCTGGATGTTTTCTATTTTTTTTCGATTACAACCTATAAAGTTCCACTTTTTTACTTCTTAAATTCTACGGAAGTAATCTTAAGAGAAATCCAATAACTGGATTAACACGCAACAAGAACTGGAGCCCGGTCAGAAATTGTTCCAGTTTAATAGTTCCCTACTAATAGGCTAAATAAGGACTCAAAAGTCTGTAATAATCATTTGCGATCATTCCTTATAAATATTCCTGTGGAGGCTAATTTTTGTATTGCATTGAAAATTACTTGTCAATTTCTCACATAAGAATAAAAATTTGTATTTCTCTTCGATTACCAAAAAAAATAGAATTAGCTGATTTGGTTAAAACATCATGGAAATATTCAAATTCTTTTTTTTGTTTTGTCAGGTGGCTTTTAGGACAGTCTTGTATGTTCTATTTGAAGCCTATTTTTGTGCGCATCACTAAAGTACAAAGTCGAAAATTGAAAAATATTTTTTTATCTTGTAAGATTGAGAATTATTTACTAAAAAATCGGGATTATTTTCGTTTGAAAAATACTTTCATGAATCTTTATACGACATTAATTGAAAAAGATAATCTTATAATTTGCTTCTCAAGTTAATCGGCAAGAAAGATCAAGAAAATAATAATAGTCACTTTTGAGAATAACTTTAAAAAACTTCTAGATATTATATAGAATTCTAACTTTTGATTTTTCTTCTAGGATAAATATGTTGTTAAATGTCCTGATAATCTTGATTTAGTATCTGCTCAAGCATCATCAACTTTAACAAAACCTTATGCCGAACAAATAAATAACCGATCCTTAGCAAAACGAGATGAACCACCTTGGACAAAATATGATAATGATCGTCAACGTTGGGTTTTAACACCAGATCCTCGTCGATTAGAAGAAGATGCAGAAGAAAAAAAGAAACGTAATCCTAAAAATCGAAATAAAAAAGGTTTAACTGAACCAACAATTAATTTAAGTCTCGTACCTGATCCACAATTAATAGCTTCATATAAACCACGTGATTCTCGTCAAACACGTGACTTTCAAGCTTGGAAAGATTATTGGTCACAAGTACATACAGAAAATGATTACTTAAAATATTTAAATACACAATCAACTGATTATCTTCATCATATATTTCATTTACATGATAGATTACCTGAAGATAATCGTCTTAGTGAAGAAAATCAAACATTACTTGATGAACGTAATCGAGCATTAAAAGAACGTGAAGATAAAATTCTCGAATTAAAAGAACGTAAAAACAAATTTGAACAAGGTGTTTGGAATGCTGAAAGTATTTCTCTTGGTGGTCTTGGTCATAATCCAATATTAAAACCTGAAGATGATCCAATTATACAATTTGAACAAGATTTAGAAAGACGTAAACCTAAAGCAAAACGTATTGATTTATTTGATCCTATAGCACATGAAAAAGCTTTATCAAGCAAACAATTTTTAACAACTATTTTAAATAATGTTAAACATGATAATGTACAAAAACGTTTAGAACAAGTATGGAAATTATTAAAAATGACTGATAATGATCGTTTACATATGGCTGTTAAATATAGTACTATTGAATATGAGAAAAAAATTGAATCGGTAAAACAACAAAAAAAGAAAGAATTTTTTATTCGTTGTTTATTTACCTCTTTTTTTTTAATTGTAATATTATGAATATTTTTAATAGGCATTGGATGCTTGGGAATTCATAGCACAATTAATTATTCAACGAGAAAAATTTATAAATGATTTAGAAAATTTTGAACGTACTGCATCGGATCCGAATCGATTTTTTGAACCAGGTAGTTTATTTCAAGGAAAATTTAATTATCAAATAATGAGTTAAAGAAATGAGAAATAACTTTAAAGGAAAGCTTGTGAGGAAATAATCCTAGATGTCAATGCGCTTTTCAGTCGGAATTTAGTGAATTATGTCTATCGTAAAAAAAAAGAGTTCGTACGTATGATCTGTTTCTGAGAAGACCAAATGCTTTTTTTTAATGAGCTTTTATTGTAGGGCTCTACATTTGCAGTAAGACTATATTTACGAACTTCAATCTAAAGTTTTGTCCACATAAAGGTTTCAATTAAACTAGTTTGCACAAAAAGTTTCCATATTTTTGGACTTCTGTATATACTATGTGCGGAAAAGGGTCTATACATGGAAAGCTTCATATCTCGAAGAAACTTAATCCAAATATTCTGAAGTTTTTTATGAAAACTAGTCTAATGGAGATCTTCATGTGGGAAAAGTTTCAGATCGAAATTCGAAAATATAGGCTTGCTGCAGATGTAGCGTTCTACAACGTAAGTTCACTAAAACAAAAAAAAAGCGTTTGATTTCTTTACGAGGAAACTCTTCCAGTTAATAACCTCCGTTTGAAATCATACTTTTCTCATAGGTAGGACTTATAGTGTAAATATAAATTACGAAAACAATCGCAATAAGGAATTTTCGTCTGAAACTTCATCGAGCAATCGATATCATAGTCCTTGTCATATCCCAAAGGTTTCAGCTCAAATGGATGTTTCTCTTTCGAGATAACACGTTTTCAAAACAAATTATTTCCTCATAACAGCTCGAAAAATAACTCGTTTTTCTATTTCAGGATATCATAAGGATCATGATATTAATTGCTCGATAAAATTTCAGACAGAAATTTTTTGTTGTGATCTTTTTTGTAATATCCTGCTATAAGTTGAAAATTCAATAAAATGAATACAACGTGAGTAGAAAATCCTAATGGCACGAACCCTTTTAGGATTTTTATTTATACTATGAGTCCTACCTATGAGAAAAATATGAGTTCCAACAGAGGTTATCAATAAAGAGAGTTCCTTCGTCAGAAATAGGTCATAAGTACGAACTCTTGTTATGATAAACATAGTTTACTACGGTCTAGAAGATACACTAAATACCTATTGAAAAACAAATTGCCCTATAGGAATCTTTTCTTGTTTGATAAATTAATCTATGATGTTTACAAATAATGCTAGAATGTAACTTTTTGTTAATGCGGGGTAACGTTTCTTACTCTAAAATCCTAGGTTTTTTTATTTTGTACAGAAAGAAGTTGTAAGTTGAATCATATCGAGTTTATAATATATGAATTACTTCTTTATTGCATTTCTAGAGGATTAAGTCAAAAGATGGTGAAGAAATGTACCTCAAAAGAGATAGAATAAAATAATCTCCGTGTGATAAGCAAGAGCAACTACATCATATTTCACATTTTAATCCCATAGGGATTTCACTAACAGCTTTTAAATATTGATTGAAAAACTGAAACTTTCCTATAATAAATTGTTAAATAAATGATGAATAATTGTTTGATTCAATAGAGATAGTATCATTATATTTGGGTCTCGTAGGGATCACACTAAACGACTTTTGCTTTATATAGAAAAATAATTCAATATGATATATATTATAAATTAATTGGTTAAATTCTTTTAGGTCCTATGGGTAGTTCAAAAATGCGTTTAAGTGAATCTCGTCGTCGAACATATTTATATAATCAATTATCTATACTTGAAAAACAAATAACTGAACAATGGAATAAAATAAAAATAAGTTTTGGCGATACAGTTACATATAATGGTCGTAATTATTTAGATAAAATGCAATTTGATAAATTAGAAATGTTACATTATTTACAAGAAGAACGTCGTTTAAATTATTTACATTCATTTACATCGATTGGAAAACATAATAAACTTGATTCTACTTTTAATCATGTTTTATGAATAATTTTTTTCCCTCTTGAATGAATCTCCGTCCGTTTTTTTATCCTCTTTAATGATATATATTTTTTTTTGCAAATTTATAATTTCTTTTCTTTTCTAGATGGCTTCATCGTATCCTACTGACATTGATGATGTAGAAATGAGCTGTAAAGGCATGCAACTATTATTAAATAATGACATTGATGCATGTGAAGCTTTATTTGATCAATATCGATTTTATTCACCCCTAATGATTGGTGGATGGGGTCTTGTTTCATTTATAGTAATGAATTTTAATTTTAATAGAAAGAACTCCTTTTTTGACAATATCATCACTCAAAAGTTAACAGTATTGTCGAGTGCATATCGAAGAGACATATCGTAGTTTTGAGATAAACTGTTCAAACATAGAACATTTCAAATATGCAGTCGATTCGAACGATATTTTTCTAAGTTCATTTTATGTGATATAAAGTTTTATTTGACTAATTTCCATTTAATATATGTGAAGCTTTCGAAAAGCTCTGAAACTTATCTGGTTTGTAAAACAACGAAAAGTATTGCTCTATTAGTATTATTTCCTGTGTATAGTCGATACAGATCTCTATCTACAGTCTATACTAAAAATTCTGGGACGGTCAAGAATGACTCTCCGAAATTTTATATTTCATTTCAAATAAACTTTATATATGTTTTTTGAAGTATAGTTACTGGTTAAGCTTTTGTACTTTACTCTACAGATGCAAAACTTCTAGTTTTAATAGTATATGAAATTTTAACCAGTAACTATACTTAAAATATATATAAAGTTTGTCTCAAATGGAATATAAAATTTTTCAGAGTCATTCTTGAGTGTCCCAGAATTTTTTGCGTAGACTGTATATATGTTTAATTTAGTAGAGCTTATCATCTTCATAGATGCATTGATGAGTGACAACGGTGTCGCTGAAGCACTTGAACGTTGACGCCTGCAAATTTTCTCCAAAAGTCGACAGCAGTTCAGCCGATCGGCTTACATATCTAGATAAAGAGCTATATGAACTAGGTACAGGCGATGATACTAGTACAGCAATACTTTTTGTTCTTTTTAGAGAAAATCATTTTTAGAACTTTTTGAACATACCCTACGTAATCATTATAATGAAAATAGTTTCAATAATCGCTAAACTTGAGTTATCGGTGAATGTAGAAATGAAATAGTAATTTCAATTTGATAAAAACCGTTCTATATGGAACAAGAAAAAGAAATATTTTCAATAATATTTGAAACGATTTTTATTTTAATGATTATGAATAATAATAATGAATCCGTTTAAATATGTCAGATAAACATTTAAATTTTCATTCAACTTTTGAAATTTGATTCAACCTTGATAAGTTTCTTGATGTTATTACTTAGCCTAACGGGTAGTGCAGATTAAATAGCACAATATCATGTTTTTGAGTCGTTTCGATGCACTTCCAGAAAATCATTCGATAGAGTACTTTTTTCTCTACAAAACTATTTCGTTTGTTTTTTAAATAAATTTTTTTTGTTCGAGCAAAATTAAAAATGTGAACGCCTGTTTAATCGTCTAAATGCGATTTTCAATTTTCTGCAGTAAGTCTTTGTTCAAAAAGATCAATCCAGAAAGCGACGTAGTTAACATCAATGAATAGAGAATTTTGTAACCTTCGCTTTTACGCCCTTTTCAAGATTTCTGATGCGATGGTTCACGAGAATAAAATCTGCTGATATCTTTCTACGCATGTCAGAAAAACATGTTCTCCAAAGTGAGACTTCATTTATAAAACAATCATTCTGATGCTGTCGGATATGTAATTTAATTCTGAGCAAAAATGTTGTGGCTACTAAATTACAGAGTACAAACGATCAGATTGTATTGAAGTAAAAAAGAACAATCGCATAATCCTGTCAAACAAGACTTTTCCCTAGTTTTTACTTCATAATTATTCTTGTAAATATTTCTTCACAAGTTTTGAAACATATATCAAAACATGCAGAATTTGGTGACATGCTTGTCATTTTAGAAAATTGTTGTTAGAAAAAAACTTGCGCGATTCTTTTTCCGTAGCAGTTGGGCGATTGAGTGAGTGTTAACATTTCAAATTTTGCTTCAATAAAAAAAAAATAAATGCAACAATTTTGTAGAACAAAAAATTCTCTATCGAATAACGTTCTGAAAGTGTATTTGAGTGCCCTAAAAAAAAAAGAAAATGGTATTGTCTTGTTTAGTCTGTGCCATCTGTTAGTTACAAAAAGAAAAACTTAACGATATTCAATTTTTCTAGAGAGCTGCAATTTCCTTCGATGAGCAACGTTTGGCACAAGCTAATCGTAATTTGGTTGAAGTAGAAAAATTATGTGCACATGAAAACTCAACAAAATTTACTCGTACAATAAAATCTCTTGATTCAAAAGTAAAAATTTCTTTTGACCTTTTTTTTTGTTTTACTTTTCATGTTTTTTTATTTTTTGTCAATATAAGGTAGCAGCACATGAAGAAACTCTTACTCGTCATATCATTATAGCCGATTGTAAATTATATCAAGGTAATAAATAGAAACAGTTCTTTTATTTGTTTTTTCTTTTCATAAACAAATTAAATATTTCATTTTAAGCTATATTAACATTTATTAAACAAGATTTATCCAGCTTAATTAGTGCTGGTTTACTTTTACGTAAAGCATGGAAAATATATGAAAAAACTCATCATGAATTATTTGATTTATATCGTGCTAAAGATTCTAATGCAGAAAAAGATTATGGATCAAAACTAGAAGATAACGTTATTATTCGATTTGAAAATAATGATGGAATGAAAAAGGATGATGATGATGATGATGATCTTTCTTTTAAAAGTTTTGATAGTACACCAGATGACTTAACAAATGAACTTTCATTATATACAATAAAACGTCTTCTTGGATCAGTTTCATTTGGTTATGGACTTTTTCAAATAGCAGTTTCATTTGTTCCACCAAGAGTCATGAAAATAATTAAATTTCTTGGTTTTGAAGGCGATCGGTAAAGTTTAATATTTATTATAATATATATATATATATATGTACGACATTATTTATTATTGTTTAGAAAAGCTGCATTAGCTGCTCTTCGATTTGCTAGTCAAAGCACAGATATGAAAGCACCATTGGCAAATTTAACATTACTTTGGTATCATTGTATCATTCAACCATTCTTTGCCATCGATATGGCAAATACACCCGGTAATAGAATACTTCTATACTTTAGTTGTTTTTTTATGAAACACGATCTAAAAGGAATGTTGAAACGTATCGGGTAGAATTTTAGACTTCTCACAGACCGTGACAGACGTTATTGATATACGATCAAGGGCTGTATATTAATAATATTTCGTTATAATTTATGAACTGTTTCCTTATTGGATACTTGAACGATTAAATAAAAGGTTAGTGAAGAAATCGGTTCCAAAATTGATAAAATAAAATAATCTCCCAGTGATTAACAATAATAGCAGCTACATCGTGTTTCATATTTTAATCTAACAAAGATTGAGCTAACAGCATTTTCAATATTTATTTAATTTATAGATGTGAGTGAACCAAAAGCCATAATAAGACGTAATATGGAAAAATATGATAGATCAACATTATTTATTTATTTTCAAGGACGTCTTGAACGAATTGAAGTAAAACTGATGAAATTTTTATTTATTTGAAATTCACTTTTTTCTGTTTTTACAGAGAGATCTTCCAAGAGCTTTAACAACATTTCTTAATGGACTTAATTTACCAAATAATCAATTACAAAATGCAACAGCCGTACGATCCAATGAGTTAGATCAAATATTAATTTATGATCTTGGATTTTGTTATTTAATGATGTTGGAGTTTGAACAAGCTTTACATTATTTTACACGGTAAGAACTTTATATTTTGTTTGCATACGTTCAAATTTTCTTTTCTTTAAAAGATTAAAAGAAGAGAGTCGATGGTCGAAAGCATTTTATTGTTATGTTTGTGCAAGTAAGAAGATTTCGTATTTTATTTTATTCTAGTTTATTTATTCCTACTCTATTCAGTATGTACCGCTGCTATGCATGACGAAAAAACGTCGGCAACATTTATTAAAGATGGAATTAAACTTCTTCAAAAGCGATCAAATCCAATTGAATTATTTGTACAAAAACGCGTAAATAAATAATAAACGTTCCAGTTTTAGAATTCAAAACAATTGCTTGTTTTTTTTCTGTCTGTTTAGTTGGATTATGTGAAAAAGCATTCACTATCAGTATCTACAGCACATATACTTATATTTGAAATATTATACTTATGGATTCTTTTACCATTATGTGAACAATCAACGTTAACAAAAATTTTACCAAGTAAATAGTGTCTATGTATAATAACAGTTTACGAATATATATTGAAAGCATAACATCTACAGTTTCGAATCCTATAATAAGATTTTTTTTTCTGAAGTTACATATAACGTCTAGTAACACTCTTTTCTTAACGGATGCCACAAAAATTGTGCACTAATTTTATTTTTTTTCTGATATAGTTTTGCAATACAACATTGTGGAAACTTAATTCTTTTTTTTTTGGTTAGCACGAGCAAAACCTTTAGTGAAAAAGTAATTTAAAAGAATTGGATCAAAAATCTTAGAACAATTGATGTAAGAAAATTCTTGCGTAACCTTTTTGAATTTAGAAAGAAAAATTTTACACAATAAGAAAAGTTTTCTTTTTATTCTTCTTTTCATAGTTTTATAACGTAAATATAGGAAGATATTATTATACCAAAAAAAGAATTAATGAATGGAGTTTAAAATGACTGATAGGAATGCTATTATAGCATCTTTTGGTATCACGGATTTTTTATTACTACTGATTACAATCACAAAACAAAATTCTATTCTGAAAGAGAATTTGTTAGAAGATATATAGTTTTTGTAAAACACGATATAAAAGGAGTGTTGAAGTATAGAAGTAGAAATTTGGATTATCCCGTTCCACATACCGTGACAGACGTTGTTGATATACTATCAACGACCGTATATGAATAACATCTCGTTCTAGTATATGAACTACTACTTTATTACATTTTTGGAAGGTTAAGTAAAAGGATAGTGAAGAAATGTGTCCCAAGAAAAGGTAGAATTAAGCAATCTCCCTGTGATTAGCAACAGCAGCTACATTGTGTTCCATATTTTAATTCTACAAAGATTACATTAGCAGCTTTTATATGAATAATGAACCTTATCAGATCCTCTACTAAACAATATTATTTGGGATATGAGACAACTTCTCTGTGATGTATTCCGATAAAACATTGTTTTTGCGTTGATAAACTTCAAATGGAGTTTTTAATTAAACTATTTACTACTCAAACTATTGTACACTATATCAATTATTTTAATATCATACGAAAGCTGTCATTGTTATATGAATAGTTGCATATATATGATGCTGAAAAATATCGAAAGTCGACAATGAAAAATGTTAAATAAATATATTTGAATAACAATATTGTGATTGACATGGTGGAAGTATTCTGATGCCTTTTGTTCTAAGGTTTTTATGGTCTTCGGAATATATTTCTGATGAAATTCTTTTATATATTTTTGCACTAGATATTTTGTGTTTTCTGACAAAAAAGAAAGATCAAGTTTCTACAATATTATATTGCAACATTACATCAAAAACAAAATTAATGTAAAACTTTTGTCTTATCCACTATTTTCAGTAAATACATCAGACAAATATCATTAATATTATACTAGGTTGGAAATAACATTTTTTCAAGGAAATATCGCTAGAATTTCAAATAGAGTAAAATAATAAATTTTATATTAAATGAAAGTTCATCGAAAATGAAGTTTATGAGTACTGAACAATAAGGTTTATAAAACCTTCCGTATGTTGAACTCTCTGATGTTGTAATATTTTATCGATCAGAGGTAGGAGAAAAATTATTCATGATATAAAGTTCGACATAAATGTGATACAAAACTGTTTATTCTTCATGTTTTAATGAATACAGCCAATAATTAGTATGACGACTGTTAGTATTCTTTTCTGCACGCAGGTGAGATTAATATGAATATTGAAGAGTTTCAAATAACTCACTGTGTTTTTTCATGTTTCTCAAAACATTCCATATCATCAAAATCGCATAATTTTTGTCGATTAATCAGCGATGTTTTTTTTTATTGAAAACGTCGTCGATCAATCGCTGTTAATTAGCAATTTTCTTTTCTCTAATCGCGATTTAATCGCCGATTCTTTTTCAAATATTGTGATTAATCGCCAAAAGTGATGCGATTTTGATGATATAGGATATTTTGAGAAACATAAAAACACACAATAAGTTATTCGATATTCATTAAAACATGAAAAAATAAACAGTTTCGTATCACATTTATGTCGAACTTTATGTCATGAATAATTTCTCTCATATTTTTGATCAGTAAAATATTACAAAGTCAGAGAGTTCAACATATGAAAGGCTTCATAACTCTTATTGTTCACTGTTTATAAAACCCATTTTTGACGAACTTTCAGTTGATATAAAATTTATTATTTACTCTATTTGAAATTCTAGCGATATTCTCTTGGAAAAATATTATCTCCAACCTAGTAGATACATTAGAATTACAGTGCGAGAAACAAATTTCAAAAAACAAACCACTATTCATCGATTCGATTGAAGTCTTTTGGATGTTGGAAAATATTGTATGTAATAGTTTAACAGACATGTTAATTGTAACTATAATTGAATCATTTTCAACATATGATAAAAGAAGAATAATTTATCAATAATCATGTAAATAGATAATGACTTTTTGCGTTGAATTCTTCTTACAATTTACTTGTGTTCTTTGTATAATATCGTCGAATATATATAATATCTATTTGAAATTTCTTGATCTTTAAAATCATATATTTATAAGTATTATTTTTTTTCTTTGTCAACAGTGGTTGAATTATATGGTCGAGATTCAAAAGATGATAAGAAACTTCGTCCAATTACTTGTTTAATTGAAGGAGCCATTTACCATACACTGCTTCGCTATGATGATGCTCAAAATGTACGTTTTCTTTTCTTTATTTTATAAGTCGAATCTCGACATTTTATTTTCGTATATTTATACAATAATCTAGTGTTATGAAGAATCCATAGCTCGTCTGGAAGATTCAAAATTACACTTTTCTCGATATGTATTACCATTTGCTACTTGTGAACTTGGTATCATTGAATATTTGCACCGAGAAGTATATTTATAATTTTTAGAAAATTGATCAATGGATATTTCTTTTATTTTGTAGAATAACGAACGAGCTAAAGAATTGTTAACAAAAGCTAAAGTAAGAAAATTGTTTTAATTTAAATGAAAATTAATAATGTCAAAATGTTTTCATTGATTTAATAGGACAAATATAGTGATTTTGATTTCGATAATCGTCTACAAATTCGAGCAGCAGCTACACTTAAAATGATTGCTTCTCGAGAAGCATCTGCAACAACAGCAACTGCTTCTAGCAGATAGAAAATAAGAGTTCATGGTTTTTTTCTTATTTATAGCTGGTGAATTTATTCATTTCTGTGACCGACAATTCAATTTTTATGTGTAAAATTAATCAATCAAAATGAGCTTGTCTTCTTCAATACAATAGCTAAGACTTCTTTATTTTCATTGTCTGTTTTTCTTTTTTCCTCTTTCTTTTTTATAAAATCACGCATTTTATTCTTTAACTTATTTACCTCGAGACTTTTTAAAGATCTGTTTTGAAAAAATTATAATATTGAATGTATAATGTAAAATAAATTAATTGAAATATCAAACAATTTGTTTCAAAATCAAAAATAGAAATTTTATTGTTTGATAGTCAAGTATGATTGATATAAAGAAAGATCGATTGCATTGCCATTATCAATACTGTTTCTGAGAAATGGTAAAAAGTATGATTAAAATGAGTTCATGACAGTCACGGATTCAGATAAATTATCGTAATAAATCCTTAGTTTCAGAATGTGATTACGCATCAGTTCTGATGACTGAAGTGAACTAGTTTCACACAACTTTAGTAATACAAAATTCAAATAGATATCTCTTTTGTTTTCGTTCAAAGTCTTTAAATACACTCTGGATGATATGACAGAATGCAAGTGTGGGTGTGGGTGTGGATAAGATAGATTAGACCACACGTCCACACTCATATCCACATGTCGCATCAACACCTACACCTATACCCTCCAAATGAATGGATGCTAATGAAATAAGGCACTTTAAGGCCTTTTCTAAAGCGTTACCTTTGCGTAAGATGGTTTTTAATCGAGAAAATGGATTTTAATGGAAAGACATTCAAATGTCTTTTCTGGATACACATAATTTCTATTTCATTTTTCGTCGAATCCAGAATGTGAAATCATCGATCTGGGCGATGGCAAGAGGTAAGGTCTCACTCATGGATACCCTTTTTTTATTTAAACTCGGTACGGTGGTTCACGTGAATACACGGTGGTAAATATCAGTATATCTTGCTGTGTCCGTTAGAATACGATCTGATTGCAGTATGAATATCAGTGTAATAGACGTGTTTATTTCGTCGCATACGACACGACGTGACACGATCGTAATAGTGTTCCTACCAAACGAAATATTTACAGCTGGTGTACAATCTTAATTACACCGTTCAGGAATGTTTCCGGAAACATAAATGCGTGTTTACGGTTGTTTACGATCGTCGCAATCATTGGTGTGGGTTCCTTAATTATTTTATTATTATTTTTCTTTTTTGTCGCTCCTGTTAAATTATTAAATGACAGTCATATTCGCCTACATTTGAATAAACAAACCAATTAGCTGTGAATTTCTTTAAAAAAAAAAGATAAATCATCTTCTCTAATAGTAGATAATGTCATCGTTTTCAATATATTCAACTATTACTCTTCTCACTCATCAATTGAATGAATTATTTCTATGCATGGTTGAACTACTCTTTTTGTTTCATATGTAACAGCAGTTCAGTTATAGATAGAAATAATTCATTCAATTGATGATCATTCTCTTCTTTTTTTTTTGCTTTTCTTCATACAATGAATTATTGTTACATTGGAACAGAAAGAATAATTCATTGTATGAGACAGAATTTTGTTTTCCCCTTTCTCACTTCTATCCACCTGTCTAATCGCTCTACTCTCTAAAAAGAGGATGTCATCAGGAACCACTCATGGTTTCAGGGAATGTGCTGAACTTGTAAAGGCTTCATTTATTTATTAATAAACCATCAAAGGTTCTAGATAATTTAAAGTACCATGTTGAATAAAAATTGATTCCAAGTGTTCAGAAGAGTTCCATCGCGCACTTTTTCGTTTTATGCTGAACTTCTTTTACAAAGATGGTTCCAGAGCAAGTTGCTTGAATTAGAGTGGATAATTTTTTTAACAGGACTTAATTAACGTAAATTTGGAACAACTTTACTTATCCAACATAATAATAAGAAACAGGGTGTGGGGTGAGATTGTGAATGTGAGTGTTAGTATGAGTGGATGTGGGTGTAGGCGTATAGAAGACCCATACCTTTACTGTACATTACACACGTGACTTCAGTGATTGTCATCGTGATGAAATGTCGATTTCTTCTTTCAACAAACTGCATAGATGTTCAGTTTTCTTATGAGAGTGTTATAGATATTCTGACAAACTTCTGCCTTTGATTCTAACGCCCAGTGAAAAAATTTGAGATTATATTAGATTATGTGAGATTTTAACCGGATTTTTGTGAAACAAAATCCGAATTTTAATCGATTGAAATCTTTCAAATCAACTATAATCTGATTTTTAATCAAAAATAATCTCGTAAATCAAGTAAAACTCCGATTAAAATCATATATTTTTGATTGAATATGATTTTTAATCGAAAATGTAAGATTTTAATCAAAATTTTACTTGATTTACGAGATTATTTTTGATTAAAAATCAGATTATAGTTGATTTGGAAGATTTCAATCGATTAAAATTCGGATTTTGTTTCACGAAAATCCGGTTAAAATCTCATATAATCTCTAATTTTTTCAGTGGGCGTTACCGTCATCTTTTAACTTTTTTACTATACGTTTTGTTACTCAAAACAGATGCAATAAAAAATGATATAGATCTAGCCGAGTTCTTCATTTTATCTGCAGAACTAAGAGATCAATATATTAAACATGCAATCTTACAGCAAAAGTGACTTAACTGATATTTATTCCAACAAAAATATACTTCAAACTTGATCAACTCTATGGTGAGTTTTATTTAAAAAAAATTTTTTTCATTCATCTGGATTCAGCTTATGAACCATTGAACTGTAAATTTGTGTTCAATAATGAAATTTATTTATTTTTCTTTATGATTTCTTTCAATGAACAATCAATTGGTAATTTTGACTTCAACAATAAATTTATTTTTGTTTTCTCTAGATTCTTGTCAATGAGCAACTAAATAGAAAAGTTTTTCAATAATAAATTTAATTTTTTTGTCGTTTAGATTCATCTCATGAACAATTAAATGGGAAGTTTTTTTTCAATAATAAAATTATTGATTTTTCTTTTAGATTCTTCTCAATGGACAATTAAATGGTGAGGTTTTTTCAATGAAGAAATCAGCTTTTTTCGTTTCGATTTATCTCATAAGCAGTTAAATTGTAAGTTCAATTTGAATAACTAATATAATTGTTTTTCTTCTAGAGTCATCTCAATTCATTATTAAATAGTAAATTTGCCCTTATAACATCAGCTTTCATGGTCTCTATTTTGAGTCATGTTAAGTGGAAATAGTGGGCAATTTGGAAGGAAAAGGTAATGTCTGCTTTTTTTCAACTCGTGGCAAGTCTGAATGATCACAATGATGAACGAGGACTTAGTGATTAGTTCCAACCTATCTCAGGGCTTGTTTTGGCTGGGAACGGATCAATTACATTATTTCGCTAAGTGTAGTTCTCATAGGCAACCATAATCATATCATAACAACTGACCTTTTTATGTTAAATGAACTGGTTTTTTTTTCTGTGGGTAGAACCATTTTTTGAGGCAGATGACAAAAATTCAAGATAAAACTAGATTTTGGTAGAACCTTGAAAGGTTCAGAAAATGGTACCCAAATCTGAAATCCTAAAAGGTTCAGCACAACACCCTTTTTTTAAGAGAGTAGTCAGGCAATAGTATTAAAAAATATGTTACAACCAGATTGAATTTAATTTATTATCGTTATGCTCCATCCAGACTTTTCAATCTAGAAAATTCGAAAACTGAAAGTGAAGAAGATCTTATCAATGCAAAAATAACGCAATCAAGTTCAAAACAAATACGAACACAAAACTGAAAATTGCTGTTCGAAAAATGCAAAAGCGAAAACCTAAGTGCTTTAAAAATCAAGAAAATAACACAATCATGCAGAATTATATAGATAGTCATTTAGAAAAAACGTGTTTCAAACAGTCAGACAAAATTTATTAATCACTGTTCTGCATACCATAGACTTTTCAGTCCAGAGAGCGCAGGACCCTTTTGTCTTTGCTTCACGGCCTCTTGATTAACTGAAATTTTAGTTCTCTACGACTTAGACATCATCAAGTAATTAAGATACTTGCTTTTCAAAATGTCTATTCGTCACACTTGAACAGATCGTTAACAAATATTTTTTTTAAAGTTTATTTTCTTTATCCAATAGATATTGCCTGGCCATACTGTTTTCCATTTTGCTAGATTGAGCTCAGCGCAATTTTGATTTGTTGCCACATAGTGCCGTTGTGTAAAAAAGTCCATCATAGATTGATATCGGCTTTGATATTTCTTCCTAAAACCATGTCCCCATTCCATCATAACGAGTTGTATATCAATAAGTTCAAAAATTTTCGATCCAGTCTCGCATAAGTAACTTTCTGATCCTTCAATGTCTATTTTAACAACAACAGACTGGACTCGTTTTTCGATCAGTATTGGAAGCAGGTCGTCAAATCGGATTGTCTGCACAACGTATTGGTTAGTTAAATTCTCCCGCGTCGTTTCACCTAACTCTATAACAGATGGGGCGTCATGTGACAGTGTCACGTATTCGCCAGATTGTGAATACAGTGCATTGTGAACGAGAATAATACGATTTTGCACTCTTTCAATTTGCACTGCCCGGGCGATATGTTCAATGTTTGGCAGAAAGCAATCAACCACAAGTGTAAAACGACCTAGAGCCCCAGCAGTGTACATTGTGTAACTTCCAATATTAGCTCCAATATCGATCATGTCCAAAAAAGGATTCCGAATCAGAATGTGTAATAGACGCGTTATATATTCTTCTTCCCATATACGTTCAGTTGCAATTTTATTACTGACAAAATCTTCACGTGAATGTATGCAAACAGTTGTACTATATAGATTTAATAATTCTTTGGTTTTAATGCATGTCATATTGCTCTTTATGGTTTGATTGGGATCAATCAGATTGACAGCTGGATCAAGAGAACTAATCGCTGGTACAGGCTTTATATGGAATGTACATTGTGTAATGAG